TCACTCAGGAGGCTGGTGCTGTGGGGGCATCACCCGGGAGGCTGGCAGCTGTGGGGCCGTCACCTGGGAGGCGGCTGCAGGGATATCATCTAAGAGGCTGGCACCGTGGTGGAGCCCTGGCTCTGGCTCTGTCTCCTGCCCTGTTCCCGGCCAGCAGTCTCTGGAAAGGGGAGTGCCTGGCTTTCCCTGGGCTCTGCTGTGAGGATGACCACCTTGCACCCCGAGGTGCTTTCTGTTGGCAGAGCAGTGCTGTTACCGAGGCCTCAGCACCCAGGGGCTGGTTTCTAGAAAGGCCCACAGAGCCATCCTCATCCCTGGCTGGGGCCCCTCCCTTCACTGCCCTGGACTCCACTTCTCCCTTCTCCCAGGGCCGTTGCCTGTTGTTCTCCAGTGGTGGGATGGTTCCTACACGTGAGGACAGGCCCACCCTTAGGTGACTTTCGTGTACGTGTCAGAGGCTTGTGTTCATTACAGAATGGACCACGGGGATGCAGGCTTGTAGCCCTCATTGGGCCAGGTGTCAGACGCACAGGGGAGTTTTGGACAATGCAGACTCCTGGGCTGCTCCCCAGATCCACCAAGTCAGCGTCTCGGGGCTGGACTCGAGTATGAGGGCCTTTGAGGACCAGGATGAGGCCTGGCCCACTGTTTGGTTTTGGTTGGCTAGGTCTGAGGCAGTTCTCTGAGATTCCCAACAGGGATGGTGACTTGGTGAGCCCCGTGCTTCATGACACTGGGTACATTGGGGGAGAGGGGTGCTGCGGGAAGCTGTGGAAGGTTGACCCGGAGGGGGGCAGGGCATGGGAGGACACCGTGGAAGGTTGACCCGTCGCTGTGGCCTGGGGTCGCTGAAGGAGGGTCATGAGTTGGCTGGACACATGGGAGAAATGGGCCCACTCGAGGTGGATGTGGCTGACAAGGAGGGAGTGTTTATGGTGACACCATCAGCAGCTGGCTGGCCTGCTGGGGGTGGGTGTTCGGGGTAGTGGACTCGCACAGCCACCAGGAAGTGCTTAGTGCTAGGGTGGGGGTGGGGTGGGCACAGACCCTATCAGACTGAGTGGTTCCATGCCCTGTCAGGTGGGGTCTCGGGTGTCCTGGCCTCTTCCTGCACCTCTGTTTCCTAGAGCTTTGTGTCCTTTGTGGGGGTCATGGATCCATCGGAATCTGGTGAAAGGCACGGACTTGGGCCCGTGAAGACACACGCATGCATGCGGCTATACTCACGTGGGGACCGCCCCTGCGGCCCATGGGGACCTGAGGTGCCAGTGCCTCTGGCCAAAGGGACCAGCAGGAACAGTGGGAGTGAGTGTTGGCATGTGTGCAGGCCCTTGAGCTCACGTGCCTGTGGTCCTGGGGCCTCCTGGACCCACACGGGCCTGCGTTCCACGGTCTCTGTCTGTCTGAGTAGCCACCACTAGGTGGCATACGTCTCTCGGTGGTCCTGGCCTCTGACTCAGTCTCCTGGGGCTGGGTGGCCGCCACCTCAGCTCCTCCGAGCTCTTGCCAAGGCGCATCTCTTGGGCAGGGAGTTGGGCTTCTGTTGATGGCCCCACCTGCCAGCGTGCGGCCCATCACCATTTTCACAGCTCTGCACTGTCCCACTTCTACCAGCGTCTCTAGTGGCCTTCAGCCCTTGGGTCTGTGAGTGCTGGTGATTAGACGAGCAGGACTGCCTGGGCTCTCCCCAGAGCTGGGGTTCTCTCAGGCTCTCAGAGGGGTCTGTGGCTGAACTGAGATGAAGAGGCTTTTTACACGGTGTGGTGGGACCACTGCTCCTCGCGCCCCGATTTGGGGCTTCCTGTACCAGAGAAGCCCAGAGGCCCCAGGAGAGCTAGGTGAGACTGTTGACTCAGCTGGGACTGTTAGTGTGAACCTGAGGAGCCCCTTTAAGGAGAGGCAGAGCTGCTTGGTGAGAGGCCTGGTATGGCACCAGGGCGTGGCTGAGGACCGAGTGACACCTTGATGTTATAACTGAGGATGGCGTAGCACCCTGATGTCATAGTTGAGGACAGAACGGTGCCCTGATGTCGTAGTTGAGGACGGAACGGTGCCCTGATGTCATAGCTGAGGACGGAGCGGCGCCCTGATGTCATAGCTGAGGATGGAGTGGCTCCCTGACGTCATAGCTGAGGATGAAGTGGCTCCCTGACGATTCGGCTGAGGATGGAGTAGCACTCTAACGTCATAGTTGAGGACAGAACGGTGCCCTGATGTTGTAGCTGAGGACGGAACGGTGCCCTGATGTCATAGCTGAGGACGGAGCGGCGCCCTGATGTCATAGCTGAGGAGAGCAGTCCTTCCACCAGTGAGCAAAGGGTCTTCCACCCACACATGGAGCTCGGGGGTGGAGGGACAGGCACTGGCAGTGAAGAGTGAGGGTCCGCCGCACCTCATTCCATGCGCAGACTGCCAGTGGACAGTGGAGGCATGGGAGAGGGGCGGAACTGGGGGGAGGGGTGCACTGCTGTCCCACCAGGGTGCCAGGAGTTGCAGGTGGGTCATGGCCAGGTCCTTCTCCTCTGGGACCAGGCTGTCCACCCTGGGTGTTGTCCAGGGCTGGTCTGGCATACAGGCTCAGAATGTGGAGGTGGCAGGGACCGCTGCCTGTGGGAGGTGCTATGTGAGCACAGACAGGGGCCTGTGTGCTGGGAGGGGGTGTGGGGAGCTTGGCGTGTGGA